TCTATGATTTTAACTTTGGATGCTTCTGTTGCAGTCTCCTGAGTAGCTGGAATTACAGTCATGCCCCACCACACTGGCTAAGACTTAGGTCTTTATTTTTAAATTTTTACTTATTTTTAATTAAAGAATTAATTTATGCTTTTAGACAGCGTCTCACTATGCAGTTCAGGCTGGCCTTAAACTCTTTAGGTAGCTAGGCAGACCTTGAACTCAGTGATCTTCCTACTTAGGTCTTTAAAAATAGAAATCTCTTAAAATTTGTTTTGAGACAGGGTCTAGATCCTTGAACTCACTTTACCACTCAACTGTATCTCAGCCCTTTTTATTTTTTAAGATAGGGTCTTGCTGAGTTTCTTAGGCTGGCTTTGAACTTGTAATTGATCTACTACATCAGCCTGCTGAGTAGTTAGTATTGCAAGTGTGTCTCCTTGTGCCTGACTGAACTTATTTTATTCTATTAATCTAAAAAATTTAGAACTTTTCTTTTTGTAGTTAGATGTTGACCACTTTTTCTGAGTGAGGATGCCTTGATTAATAGCCTCATGGTTCTAGTTGAATAGATTAAATTGCCCTTAAAATATCCTGTGTAAGTTAAGTGGCCTTTGGACTTTTTTTTCCGTGGAGTACTCTGCTCAGATATTTGCGTGGTTTCCTTGCTCACTTCTCAGGTTCCAGTGTTACTTCATATAGGAGAGCTTTTCTAAGGGGTGTTATTTACACTTTCACCTGAGCTGTGCACTAGCTGTGACCTTCCTTAAGCTACCTGAGAGAATGCCTTCCTTCACTTTCCCTGGATTGCTTTTCTTACTGGTACTTACCGGACCAGCTATTTGTTTCCTGTCATTAGAAGATGAGCCCCACAGAGGCTGGGGTTGTTTCCTTCGTCACTGTAGTTCTTTGAGTCTGCATCAGTGCCTGTTGTGTGCTCAGGGATGTCCAGTGAGTGAGTGTCGTATGCATGAGTTCTTATGGTAAAGCCTTTTGGAACAAAGGGTTGAGCACTGGGAGACTACTAGTCCTACTCCTAGAGCTTGTTTAAGTACCCTCCCCCCACCCCCCACCCCGCGCCCTCAACATGTAGCTGTTTATTATGCTGCTTTACTTTTAGGGACATTATTTGTATTGTGGAAATGTATTGTATTGTGCAAATGTAAAATGTCAACAAACAAAATTTCCCCAACAACTTAAAATTGTTTTTTCCTTTGCCCTGCCTTTATTGGCTTAAAATAGACAAATCTTAACAATTTTAAATTTTGTTAATGTGGGCCAGGGATTTGGCTCAGGCAAATGCCTGGCAAATGCAAGGTCCTTGAGCTTGATTTCTGGCACACACCCCCAAATTAATTAATGAAACTTGTGCATATAGCAAGTCACAAATCTTAAACATTTTGGTAGTGTTAAGAAAATCAAATACTCATACATTTCACAAGTCTGAAGTGAGTTTCTAAGAGTCACAAAGCTAAACTGTTAAAATTCCCTTAAACTTTGAACTTAACATGTCAACATTAGTATTATTGGTGATTGTGGGTCTGATATGCTTTGGTTTTTTTTTTTTTTTTTTTTTTTGTCTTTTTTCCTTTTTATCGGTACCAGGGATCAAACTCACGACTGCCTGCTTGCAAGGCAGGCGCTTATGCCGCTGAGCTAAATCCCCAGCCCCTATGCTTTGGTATTTAACACTATCAGATAGTTCTGGGATTGGACCAGACCTAAGGAACAGTTCTATTGAGATCTCCTCTGACAGTGTAGGAACAGCTGGACTTTGGCTTTGGAAGCAGCTTTTGTCCCCATGATTTTTTTCTTCTAAGAAGACAATAGCTTTTGTTTCTTTAGAAATTGAACCCAGGGTCTTGCAGCTCCAACCCTTTGTGTTTGTGTGTTTGCAGTTATTTACTGGGGATTAAAACCAGGGCTTTCATGCTGACATACCTGCTTAGCCCATGTTTTGTTTTGAAACAAGGTCTCACTAAATTGCCCTAGGGGGCTCAAACTTGGGACCCTCCTGATTCAGCAGCCTTGCAAGAGGGTTAGGACTATGTGTGTGTGCCACCATGCCTGCCTAGGGTTCTTTTTTGAGTTCAAGTTTAAGGTCTCTCATAACAATTTTTTTTTTTTTTAAGCTCCATTGCCTCGTCAAGTGCTAAAAGCCTTGTCCAGGTTATTTCACCACTTCCTTAGATTTAAAGAATTAATTTTCTACCTATCTGGCCAGTGTCACGGATTTTGTATTTTAATGACAAGAACTATGAGATATTAGTAACTTTTACTAATCTATGTATGACAAGTTTGGAGACAGAGAAGTCATTTCTATAAGAGAAAAGAATAGTTTTGGAGATCATTTTCTTAGTTACATTCTAAGAAGTGAGGTAGAGAAATACAGTTGAGATCACTAATGTTAAGAACATTATGTTAACAAGTGTACAGTAACTTTTTTTTTTTTTGGTTTTGTTCTTTTTATGCTGCTTGGGATTAGACCCAGGGCTGGGTATATGTGAAGCACCTGCTCTGCCATTGAGCTGTAACCTCATCCCCTCATAACTTTTCCTAAGTAGTGTTAAGAGTCAGTGTCAGACTGTGAGAGAAGTATTTACACAGTTTGTTTTGCTCATTTTAATTTTTCATTAATGGTTTGCTTATGAAATTCTAAACAGCTCAGTTGATAAGGACGAAACAACTTTCAGTGTGCTGGTGGGAACCTGTAGTGTGAATTGCATGAAATGTGACTTTTTTAAAGTATGGAGTTCTGATAGAAAAAGTTATATGAGCCAAATTTTGTTCAATAAGAAATGAAGGAGCTTATAATCAAGTAATGAATGTTGACACATCAAACCATATGATGCTTTTGTAGAAGAAATTAGCATTATAGGAGTACAGGAAAGAACAGTTAATTTTGATGGATTGTTGAACTGAGTTTTGGGGAGTAAGGATTTTCCAGGAATTAAAGAGGAAAAAGTCATTGCTTCTTTTTTCTTTTTTTTTGTCTTTTTGGTTTTTATCGGTACCAGGGATCGAACTCACGACTGCCTGCTTGCAAGGCAGGCGCTTATGCCGCTGAGCTAAATCCCCAGCCCCTAAGTCATTGTTTCCAATTCTGTCTCGTGTGTGTGTGTGTGTGTGTGTGTGTGTGTGTGTGTGTGTAATGTTCCTTTGAAAAAGAAATCAGTCAGGCTTGTGTTCACCAAGACAGATACACTTGAGCAGATGAAGAATATTGTAGAAGGGGCTGGGGATTTAGCTCAGCAGCATAAGCACCTGCCTTGCAAGCAGGTGGTCGTGAGTTCGATCCCTGGTATCGATAAAAATGAAAAAGACAAATGAAAAAGACAAAAAAAAAAAAAAAAAGAATATTGTAGATGGGAATAGGGGACTAATTAGGGCTGTTACACTTGTTTAAATGGGAAGAAAAAGGACTGTTCTTTCCAGAGTCTTTTGGGAGTAAGCAGAATTTTGTTGAATGTATTGTTAGAAAAAGAAAAGAGTTTAAATACCTCTTTTTTTAAGTTTCCAAGTTTGGGTGAGTAGGTATTTGTCACTGAGATTGGTAGAATGGAGATAACTTTGGAAAGAGCAGGACAGAAGGGACTAGAGATTTCTAGCTGTTGAGTACAAGGTAATTTGGGGACAGGTAAGTTAAGAGCTTTGGGGTGAAGATTGGGGCTAGAGTGAGCGTTGGAAAAGAAAATGTGCATTTTAACCCAGAAGTAGAAGAAAGTGGAAGTGGTCAGAGGTGGGAATTTGAAGGCAAGGAAGGAATGATGATGTTAAAGGCTTTGTTCAATAAGAAATGAAGGAGCTCTATGGGAGAGATGAGAAGAGAGAAATTTATATTTTGGAAAAAAAATATCTGGACAGACTTTCAGGAGTTTGATTTTATGTAATCTCAGACACCTAACAGTATGAGTTGCTGAAAAATGTAAAAACATACCGAGCTGCACTAAGGATTCTTGCCCATGATGAGGATATGGTATGGGTTCCCTGTGAGTTAAAACATCCGTGATGTTGGTCTTGCTTCTGGAGGCCACACTTAAAAAAGGAAACTGGATGTGTCCAGAGCACAGTAACTAGAACAAGCAAGTGTGTCTGAAAACCATGGAAGGAACTGAGGGCTCTTGTTGTGGAGAAGGTAGGACTTGGTGGGTAGGCTGCAAGGAGGGGAGGGGCAGCTGTTTTCAGGTAATGAAAAATGTTCTCAGTTATTGTATAGAACGGAAGTTAATCCAAGGATTGCTGGACTGTTTTCCCTAAGAAACAGTGTGTTTCTTAACTACAGTTACCATTCAAAATCAGGAAATAGGAATATGATACTGTTACCTTTACAGTCTATAATTAGATTTTGTCATTTATCCTAATAATTACTTCTACAGCTTTTTAAAATCAAGGACCATGCATTGCTTTTCGCTTAAGGAAGTGGGCTTGCTATGTTGCCAGTGGTGGCATGGAACTCAAGATCCTCCTGCTTCAGCCTTCTTAGAAGCTGGAATTCCAGGCATGTTCCACTATGCCCAGCTCATACATTACATTTAAAATGAACATGTCTCTCTAGTCTTCTTTACTCTGGAACAGCTCCTCACATTTCTGAATCTTGATGTTTCAAATGAGTTTAGCCTGGTCATGTTATTGAATGTCTCATGTTTCTGTGAGGTTATTATATATTGTGAGACTTTAAATTCCAATCACTGCAGTGTATATTCAAATTTTCTACCTTTCTATCTGGTTTTTTTTTGTCCTTAAAAATATCTTAATGTAAACTGTGCTCAAAACATGGAAAGCAGAGTGCCTTATGATTTAAGAAATTTTTCTTAAGTTGGAAAAAGGAAACTAATGTTGAGTACCTATTTATGCTAGATATTTTATAATCACCTCATTTTATTCATATGGTGCTGATTCAAGATTGGTACCCTTGTCTCTTTTTATAGAAAGTAATGTGTCCTCAGAGAGGTTTTTTTAGTTTTTGTAAGCTGATACAGAGGGACAGTGCCCTCTTCATTTCTGTCTTACAGGGCAATTTGAGTGTCTGGAAGCTAGGGAGGGCCACACTCTTGTTGCTTTTACTGTCTCCTGCCACCATGAGCAGTTGCCCTTCTGCCATGCCAACCTGCCTTGGAGCCAGCTGATTATGGGCAGAAACTTCTGCAAACTGTAAGCTAAACAGACCTTTCCTCCTTTAACTTTGGGTGTCAGGTATTTTGTCTCAGTAAGGAGAGTGAAGAAACTAAGACAGCTAGTAAGAAAAACATTTTATGCTTCCACTTATATGAAGTATTTTGAATAGTCAAGATCACAGAGACAGAAAGTAAGAATGGTGGTCGTTAGGGGATAAGAGAAGAGGAGATAAGGTTATTTAATGGGTCCAGAATTTCAGTTTTATAAGATGATAAGAATTCTGCTCAATGATGGCCTTAGTTACCCTGCATTATGAATGTACTGAATTCAGCTAAACTGTACACTTAAAAATGTTTAAGATAGTAGCCATGTGTGGTATACATGTCTGTAATCCCAGCACTCTGAGGCTGATGTGGGAGGATTACAAGTTCAAGCCCAGTCTGGGCATTGTAGTGATTTAGGAGACATTGTCTCAAAAACAAAACATAAAAAGGGTTGGGGATGTAACTCAGTGTGAAGGCTATGGGTTCTTTCCCTATTACCCCCCCCCCAAAAAAAAATAAAAGATAAAGCATTTGGGGCAGGAGAGATGGAATAAGTCATTTTGGCTTCTGTCACTTAAGAAGCATGCCATTTATCTGCTAGAAATTGGCAAGTGTCTGTTAGTCCTGTTGATCTCTTATGATATACCTGTATCTCTACCATAAATTTAGTTTGCTGGCTTCTCATTTATAGAACCATTCATTACGTGACCGTTTATACCACAGAGGATTTTCATAAACTAAAACAAATAAGCAGCAACTAGATGAAGAAAGAGAACACTAGCAGTATCTCCTACCACTCTTTTCTAGCATCCTCAACTCAATCTTTTTGGTGTTTTGTTTGGTACTGGGGATCGAACTCATGACCTCGTGCTTGCCAGGCAGGTGCTTATGCTGCTGAGCTAAATCCCTGGCCCCTCTACTCAGTCTTTGTCTTGGGTACTTTAGTTTTGTTCTCTTTTATTTTGAACTTTGTAAGTGGCATCATATAGTACTAATTTAGGATATATATTAAACTTCCTTTTACTACTTTCATGAAAATACATAATCCTTGAGTTACAGAATCATAATCTTTTCCTTTCGAGAAAAGATTATCTTTGTATTGAATGATTAGATTAAAATGTGAATCTAGTTGGGTGTGATGGTACAAGCCTGTAATCTCAGCCTTTTGTGCCATGGAATCTGGGATCTGCCATCTCTTTAGAGATTCATTGCAAGGAATTGACCAAGACAAGTGAAAGGACCCGCAGTTTTAAAGGTAGGAGAAGAAGTATGCCATATGGAGCCAGTTCTGGGAAGGAGCAAGGGTCATGGCCACAACGTTCCTGGCTGCCATCTTTTGAGCCTCCTATCAAAAACCTCTTGCACCAGCACTGAAGATAGTACTTTCTGATTGGTCTGGGGTGCAGTGCCTGGGGGCTATTTTTTCTGCACATGTCTTGGATCTTTCATTCCCACTTGACCACCTGGCCAAGTACTAATAGCCTGCCTGCCTCCCCCCAAAAAACAAACTAAAAAACGAGTCTGTGTTGTTCTACCAATTGATAGGAATTTTCATGGCTTTTTTTTTTTTTTTTTTTTTTGAGTCAGAGTCTCACTATGCAATTCAGACTGGCATTGAACTCAACAGCAGTCCTGCCTCAGCATCCTAAGTAGCTGGGATTATAGACATGCATCACCATGCCTGATTCTGTAGGTTTTATGCTGTCACCAGGTCGGGTCCTAGGAAGTTCTTATACATACTCTACTGGTAGTATTTTAAGTTTCAAGTTTGCTGACTCCTATTGTGAAAAAGCTTTCAGGGTATCTCAGTAAGAAGCGTAAAAGGATTTACTAAGGCAGAAAGTACACACTGAAACATAGAAAGGGGCTCCTTGGGAGAAGTGTCTTTATGAGCTGGAGCTGGGTATATTTATGGGGATGGAGCTGTCTTCCGATGGCTGATGGATGGAGTAGGATGTGTGTTCCTGATGTCAGGGCGCCTGTACAGAGTCTCCCTCAGAATGAAACCAGTTCCATGTCTTTGAGGCTGAGATCTGCGGCTGCTCAGTGCTGCTTTCCCTGAGGGTGGAGTCTGGGAGGAAGTGCCAGTTGCAGGTAGAAAGCACAGGCCTTGTGCCCCAGGTACAGCTCAGGGTTATATGTTTGCTGGAAGGGGAAAGGGCTTGAATAATTTTTGTGTCAAGAACCTGGTTTTTCTTTAAAGTTCAATTTTAAAATCTTGATTTTTTTCCTTGTCCTCTTTGTATTTTTATTTCTTCAGTCTTAACCTCGTTGTCTTTGATGTACATACTGATAAAAAAGGACACTGCTATAGAAATATACATAAAGCACTTAAGCAGTGGGTTTGATACTAGGCTACACATTGCACTGTGGTCAGTCTGTCTCTCCTTTTTTTTGGGTGAGTATCAGGAATGGAACTCAGGACCTTGTGCTTGCCAGCCCCGGGGCTGTGTTAATAGCATAAAACTTCTACAAGGTATCCAGAAGACAATTAGCAAAGATGTTTTGTTAGTGGAGTTTTTAGGGCAAAGTCCCTGGCTCTGAGACTTCAACAGACTAGGCTTGGATACATTCATTCCAGCTCAGGACTCCAGCAGGCAGGAAAAGAGCTAGGAGCTTCGAGGCCTCACTGAGAGGATGGATAAGAGGCTTGGAGCCATCTTTGAAGGTCTGACAGAAGCATTGAGGTTTTACAGAAAGGGGAACAAAGGCAAGGATTGGGGGTTTGCACGGCCGGTTTGGTCAAACTGTAGATTGCTTATTAGCTCAGGACTGGTTCTGTGAGAGTCCAGGAGAGCCATCACTTATTCTATTTTTTTTTAGTATCAGGGATTGAACTCACTACCTTGCACTTGCCAGGCAGGCGCTTATGCCGCTGAGCTAAATCCCTGGCCCTGAGCCATTACTTCTTGAGGGGACAGTTTACCCCTTGTAGTGAGAAGAGGCTTCTGCGGAAGGTGGCAGTCTTGGCTTTGTTTCTGGGGTTCATGCTGTCACCTGGCGGGTGTTCGTGATAGAAGAGTGAGCCTCCTTATGGAGGTCTGCAGAGCTCTCTGTTTTTCCTGGAATCTGAGGGGCCTTATGGTTTAGGGAAGGTCATTGTAAAAGCTGGCAGTTGGGTGTTCCTGCAAACCCTGAAAAGCACTTCGGTGGCTTTTATCTTGGTGCCCTCTGTCTGGAGGAGAATGAGAGAAGCCAGGCAAATTTAGAGCTGACAAACCTTGTGTAATAGTTCTTAGATGAACGCTTCAACTCCCAAGTTTTAAGGCTACTTATAGCCAGGTGTAAATTGCAAGCCAAGGTGCTAAGCTTGTTCTGCTTTACATTACTCATCAGCATCTACCGGCCCAGTGTCGAGGTCTAAGGTAAATAATTGTTTATACTTTCTTAACTGAGCAATCGAGCCATGCCCGCAAGCAATGGAACAAAGTGGGGTGGTAGGTTTTCCTGCAGGATGAATTAGGTATTTGGCATCTGGCACCTATGTGGTACCTCACTGTCAAGATGCTCTGGTTTTTCAGATAAAATTTTTTTTGCATATAAATTAAGATTCTTCAAAATGAACATTTGTAACTGTCCTGTAGCCTTTAGTATCACTAACAAAATATGTCTTTAGTTTCTGAGCAATATCTTTTTATGATTTCTGCTCCATGGCCTACCATCTCCAGGTGTGAGTTTTTCCCACAGCAAACCATTTTTATTGCCTGTTTAACAGACAAAAAAAGAGACTTGAATTGGTGGGACTGAATTACTAAACAGCATAAATCATGCTGTGCCAGGATACCTGTAATGGTTGATAACATTGTGTTAACTTGAGAAGGTTGGAAGCTTACTAAGTAACTCAGCTATTCTAAGTCCTAGGGAGTAGAGGACATGCCCTAGGGCAGCTGTGTGCTGCCTAGGGTGTTGTAATGGTTGATTCATTGTGTCAGCTTGAAAAGTTAAAGTTCAAGCTTCTGAGCCTTTGCAAGAGTGGGGCACAGAGATGGTGTAAGTGCTATACCCACTCTATAGCAGGTATCCTGCTTAAAATGAAAGGGAGGAAAAGAGGCTTTCCTCCTCCCCTGCTTTGCCCTTGTTTTTGCTGTCTTCAGTTGCATGGACTGCTGCCCCTCTGCCATGCCATCCTGTTTTGGAGCCAGCTGATTATGAACTGAATCCTCCACAAACTGTAAGCTAAGTGAGTCTTTCCTTCTTTAATTTTGGGTGTTGGGTATTTTGTCTCAGCAAGGAGAGAAAAAAGACAGTACCTGAAGATACTTCAAAAGACAGTGTTTCTGGATGTTTCTGCTCCTGTGTTCAGGTATAACCTTTAAGATCTGCAGGAAACCCTCTCTGTCCCCTATATTTCTAGCCATGGAAAGGAAAGCTTTTTCTTTTTCAATCTAAGTATCAGATTGAACATTTTAAATTTAAGAACTAACTAGGTTTACTAGAAAAAATTTCTGGAGAATATGAATTAATTAAATTTAAAATTGGTTTTTATTGGGCTGGGGATTTCGCTCAGTAGTGTTGGCACCAGACTGGCAAGCACTAGAGCATGAGTTCGATCCCCAGTACAAAAAAAAAAAAATTGGTTTTTATTTTTATTATTTTTATTTATTTATTTTTAAAAATATTTTTGATACCAGGGATTGAACTCATGACCTCGTTTTTGCAAGGCAGGCACTTAACACCGCTGAGCTAAATCCCCGGCCTGAAAATTAGTTTTTATTGATAACGTTGAAACACTGAAAGTTGCTTTGATTGTTATAGGAAAATGTATTATAATCTTCCAAAACATGCACAGTGTGTGCAATAGACATCGTTTAGTGAAGTTTTTGCATAATCTTTTAAAAGTAAATTAAAGTTTTTGTTAATAGGTGCTAATTCCCTTTGTGTATTCAGTGCTGACAGTCAAGCCAGGAGCTTTGTGCTTGCTATTAGATGAGCAGATCTACCATTCAGCTGCATCCCCAGGCCTTTTTATTTCATGATTTTGGAATTTTATTT